AATTGCATGGAAAAAAGTTGATTCAATCAAATGGGAGGATTGCATGGAAAAAGTTGATTCAATCAAATGGGAGGATTGCATGGAAAAAGTTGATTCAATCAAATAGGAGGATTGCATGGAAAAAGTTGATTCAATCAAATACGACAACAAATGGAATAAGTTAATTGTTTCTTAAACTTGTTTAAAAGTATCTCTCTAACAAAAAGTTTTTTTTTTTCAACAGAGAACTTCATTTACAACAAATACACTCACTCATATGGCATCCCATTGCTTGGTGCTAATGAAGAAAAACTTTTCGATTGACGATATTCACCCAGATTTGGTTGATACATTTCGCGTAGATTACAATAACTGGCTGTTCTCCAAACATTTTCGACGGGTAAAAATCTGAAAAGTACAAATTTTCATGATGACATATGTCACATTATTCATCTTCAAACACGAAGAATTTTTATTGACCGATCGATTTAGTAAAAATTAAAATAAAAAAAAAAAGAAAAAGGAAAGAGAGAGAGAAGACAAAAAATTGAATGGAAATCTTACTTATGAAAATGATGAAAGATCATAATACATATGTTTGTTTCTAGAAATTTCCAAATTTATCATGAAAGTTTTCAACAAAACTGTTTGACCATAACGTAAGCAAATGAAACCGATAAATCAGATTTATAAATGGATGAGTTATCGTGACATTTTACCTTTCACATTTACCTGTCATCAAAGTGTTAACCTTCCCTAACTTTGCCTTAATTTTTCCCATTTCCTACTCAAATCGAACATATTTTAGAATATTTGTGGTTTTGGAGGAAAAAAAAAATTAGTAATCGTATGAGTTGCAATATCATAAAAACAAATTGCATCGTATTATGATCTTATCTAAGATTGATAAGATTATTGATAGGATTCAAGAATGATATCAGCTAATTATCAATGGCATTATCCGAAAGAATGGCAAAGATTTTTCTATTCTTCTAGCATTTATATATTAAAGATGATTTAATGGAAAGTATTGATGGATACGATAATTAATACAAACATTTTAATCTATTTAAAAATCGATAAATAAAGATAAAAGATAATAGCGCAATTCTTAAGCATTAATAATATAAATTTATCATAAAATTGTAAATAATAAAATTCATATCTGTTATATTCGCTCTTCTAATGCTTACACCTTGGAGATGATTTGTTTGAATGTATCAGTAGGTGTAACATCAAATCCATCATATACTTTATATCGCCAAGTTGCATCATCTACTAATTTACGAACCTAAAAAAAAAAAAAAATAAATCATCTGATTGCATCATTTTGTAAATATTTTCAAATCCTAATTAACAATCATAATTATTTAATCACAAATAATTAATTGAATAAATAATATCATTAAATAATTAATATTGGATATATTTGAGGGAAAAAAAAAAATTACTAACAATAAATATGAAAATATTTATGAAAAAGAAAGAAAGAAAGAAAAAAAAGTGCATACCTCTTGAAAAATACTCATCCTGAATTGAATTTATTGATTGAAATTAATTATAAATGATGAGAAAAATGGAATTGAATAAATCAATATGAATCACTGAAATGAAATATAAAAGTTTAGAAAGTTGGAAGAGGGGAAGAAATTAGAAGATTGGAATAAGATGAATGTGTGATAATGATTTTAAACAGAAAGAAGTTCAGGGAAATGTTTATGAGAAGAATATATCAATTGGTGAAAGAGTCATTCATTGAACTATTAATAGTGCAAAGTTAAAAATAAAAAAAAAAAAGCAAATCGATGGATCAGCTGATGCTATCAATTTCACATTGAAAGCTATTTGAACATTTTTCTTTTTTTTTTTTTTTTTGTAATTTTATTCACATTTTACTTTTATTTTGTTTTTTTTTTCACTTGTTCTATGATCCCTAAATATACAATAATCATTCATCAATTGAAACTCTTTGAATTAATCTCCATAAATTTTATCCGGATTATCGGATCAATGATTTGGAAAAAAAAAAAAAAACTCCCATATCGAAATGGATCACATTAAGCAAGAGAATAAATTATTTAAGAAAAATTTTCGAATAACTTTACCAAAATTGTTGAATATAACAGAATTGATAGAACTGAAATGTCCTAAGTCTTCGTCTCTTCTCATCATTAAAAAATTTCCGGAAAATTGTATACTTAGGAACCGGTTGTTAGCATTAATACGTTTTAACTGGTATCGATTTAAAAATTACAATAGCAAAAATTAGTGATGCTCGTGATTCATTGATGTGATGGTTAGTAATGTTACGTAGGAACAACGTGTGATGATTAATTAATTAGACGTAGGAAATTGTTATATGATTTTATCCAAAATTATAAGCGTTAAAACTTTCTGCAAAAAAAAAAAAAAGTGAATAGAAACAAGAATGGATGTGGTGTTATTTGTTCTTTATATAAGATTACGTGAAAAGTGAATAACAAATACGTGATATATGTGGTGACGTCAGGTGATATGTTTCACGTATTACATTACGCTTCAAATAGCTGAAATGTAATTTTGAAAAAAATCAACTTATAAGGAACAGTTCTTTTTTTTTTTTTTTTTTTTTAACATTTTGAATATCTTTACATCACAATAATCCGTTTACGTCTTTAGTCAATTGGACAACATTTTTCATTGAAACGTGGCATTGTATTACTTATGAATGGATGGCGTATTTATACAACTAAGTAAAAAGTTGGTACTTCACGTAACTACGTCATTGCGTGATACTTTGCATTTCTATAGCTTCGTCACATATGAATGGATTTTGCTGCTAACATGTTTTGTTCGTTTAAATTACATCAATTTCAGTATGCAATTCTTTCTATGATAACCACAAAACTAAAACGATTGATATTAAATTAATATCAGTTGGTATTTGATCAGGGATATTTGGTGCAAAAAGTTTAAAAATTTGCTAACTTGAAATATACAATACAACGATTCCGGCGCTATTAATGTATGTAAATTTTCACTGGTAAGATTTTCTCAACTATTACACCTTTTTTTTTATATATTTTCATGAAAAGAAATGATTTCAGTAATTATTTTTCATGTAGTTTATTGTAAGTCATATTTATTGCATTAATCATAAAATATAGTATAGAAATATGTTTTTTTAATGCAAAAATATTAATGAGATTAAACGTATAATATCGCAATTCAGTGTTAAATAGTATAGAATGATGTATGCATTACTAAAGAAGGAGGAAGATCGAAATGCTCACGCAAGTATCGATCAATCATTTTTATCGAAATTCAACCAGTGGCCACATATTTTCAATCTTGCGAATTGTATCGTTGGTGTTAGTATGCTTGCTATGCCGTATTGTTTACAACAGGTACTGAAGAAAATTTTGATTTACGTAAAAATTTCAATTTGAATCTATTTTTAGCTCACGCGTTAAAAAAATTGTAGTAATAGTATAAGTTTGTGAGATAAAATAAAACTAATTATTTTCCGTATAAAACACAACGTGTAATTATGCATAAAATTACAGTACGTTTATGATGTGACGTAATGCTTGTCGCTAATGATATAGCATAATTATTCAAAAAATGTAACAATATTTTTAGTTTATTTTGTCACCTGACGCCAATGCATGACGCTTGCAAATACTATTATGATGTAGCTTGAAATTACAAAAAGTCATATCATGAAGTGATTGTATTCTCATATAATGCGCAATACAAGGCATTTCCGTAGTAATATTATTACATTGCGTGAAATTAGGGGTACTGATAATATGACTTATGCTTATGGAATGTTTGTAGTTGTTCATTAGTTTAGTATCATTAATTATTTAAATACAGTTTTACTAAAGGACACTTTTTCCACTTTTTTTTATTTTGGATTTTTCGATTTTCAGTGCGGTATTTTGCTTGGAACCATTCTAATTGGAATTTGTTCAATATTGACCAAAATTACTTGTCATTTATTGTATCAGGGAGCGTTGCTGACAAGGTATGAATCCACAATTATATATTTAATTACTTCCTTCTGGCCTTTTTTTAAATATATGTTAAATGCACACTTTGTTACTTTGTTGTACCTATTCACTTCATATACATGCTTTGCTAGCTTACTTCATAAATGTAACTTCTCATAATTTCTTAATTTTGGTCTCCTAGAACATCTCTTCGAAATCAGTTCATTTGTGGTTTTTTCTTTTGGAGACTGAAAACTGTAAATGTAATCAGTTGAATTTCTTCGTCGTCTTGAAGCTAAGATTTAGAAGATTTGATGCAATGAATTTTGAAGCAATGTAAATGGGAAGTTCGGGCTACCTTTTTGAAGTCGTGCTTTTGAATTGTTGTTGGATAGTTTTCCAACTGAATGAAAAAAATTTTAAAGACCAAAATTTACAGGCGTGGAAGTTATGAATCTCTGGCATCGCACGCTTTTGGTAGTAGTGGAAAACGTTTAATTGAGGTTGATTTCGATTCATCTAACTGGATTATAAAATTGTCATGTCACTTTCTAAATTTTTGATTTAAATTAACTGTTTGCCAGAAATATGCAGTCGTTTACCGGGCATAGTTAGGAGCTTAGGTTTTATAGAACGACTTGCAATCAAATGACCTGGTATTGGCTTAGGAATTCGATTTTAGTTTCTATTTATTGTTCACTTTTTTGAATTATTTTGAATTACTGACAACCAGCTGTACCATAATTTTATTGTGGCATGATTTGCATTGGAAATGTGAATTAAAATTTTTTTGCACTGATTTTTAATGCATTAATGTTTAAGGGCGCTATAAGTTGGCCCAGTATAATTTGGTTTTGAATTTTAACTTCAGGTTTCATTCCTTAAAATTTTTCCTTTTTAAACAAACGGTGTTTAGAAACATTATAAGTTTATTTTGATTGACTTAAGTTTCAATTTTAAATTTCAGCTTATCATATGCAAACAGAAGCCATTTATTTTGCAGTTGCTCATGATTTTATTTTTGATGTCGTGTATCATATCGTTTATGGTTGTTATTGGTGATATTGGTCCTCATGTACTGGCTGATTATTTGGAAGTGCAAGCACCTACTCAGAGGTTACGAGTTCTTGTTATGGTAAGCCTTTCGTTTTGTTTTTTCACTATTTGAGATACTTTTAATTTATTTTATTTGAAATTTTTTCTCAATAAATCACAAAAGTAAAAAATTTTTATAGTACAAAATCGGACAAAGGAACTTTGATCCCACAAAGTTTTCTTTGCAATTTGACAAACAATGATAGTAAAGTTTCAATCAAGGTTTATCGGATTTTTTAATTGAAATTTCAGGTAGTAATTTTCCTGTTTGTTATATTGCCATTGTCACTGTTCCGTAGTGTAGTCAGTCTATCGAGAATTAGTTCAATAACCATATTTTTTTACGGCATATTTGTATTACGCATGTTAATTGAATGCATCCCACGAATCTTCGACAGCAATTGGAGTACTGATATACGTTGGTGGCGGCAAGAAGGTGTACTCAATAGGTTATGTTTATTTATTCATTACTACATGAGTGCAGCTCGTTCCTTCTCAAAAGCAGGATTAACATATCTGATAGGACCTAATTGAGACTAATAATACTAACCGTTCTTGAACCATTAAGGTTTTGAAGGAAAAGTTCGGTCAGTTTTGGACAACTTGAAATTTTCTCAATTCTCGCTTTTTATAAGGTTTTAATGAAATATGTTTATTTCGTTTGTAATAATTCATCGGGGAACTTTTGAACCTTTTTCAGCTTGCCCATCATTTCAATGGCACTGTCCTGTCAGACGCAACTGTTTTGTGTAACTGACTGTATAAAGGACCCATCGGCTGCTAAGGTGCATTTTTTTATGAGGATAACTTATTCTGTTTCGACTATCTTTCTCTGTTATATTTTATCTTTCTTTTTATTATTCGTAGAATGCATTCAATTATAAGGGAAAATCATCTCATGAGACAGTTGGAGAATGCGAGATGTTACAATATACTTAAAGTAAGCATGATAGATGACATGTTATTCATGCAGCTTATAATGTCTTGATTGCCTTAAACTCTAAACTTTTACAGCTACATAATTCATCTGGGGACATTGGAATTGAAATTTTATGAAACTTAGCAATTATTGAGTTTGAGGTTGTGGATCTGAAAATTCAATAAAATTTCATGAAATTTTTTTACAACAAATCAAATTAAGCATTAATGACGTCTTACTTCCTTGTATATCTTTTAACCTGCGTTCCTGTGAATACTGAAGAGGTTGTTCTACTCTGAGCAACAAATAAGTTATCCACCAAGACATTATTAACACTAAAAAAAACGAATGAAATTTTGCTAGCTCAACTTAATTTGAAGAAATTTGCGAACTGTTTCATTTGGCTGAATGTTTGTCATTTGAAACTTAGATATGGTTTGCTGATAGAAATTTATTTAAGTTGTGTTTTATTTGCCTTCAATTGTTTTTTAAAGTCATTTATTTTCCATTAGCCTTAATTTGAAAAAATTTTCAGGTGTTTTATATTCTAGAATTTCCTACATATTTTGGTGCAGTTAATTTCGAATTGAATTTTTTCTGTATAAAATTAACGAATAGTCTAAGCAGTAAAATTTAGGTGGATACAGTAGTTTCGGGTGCAGTGAATATCTGTAGTAGTATGTACGCAGCTGTTGGTTTATTTGGATATGTTGCCTTTCACGATGTTGAATTATATGGTGACATTCTCCTATATCTACAAAGTTCCTTACTGACCCAGCTAATGAAACTAGCTTTCATGTTATCGGTAGCCGTCAGTATTCCACTTATGTTGTTTCCAGCTCGAATTGCGTTTTATAATCTTCTCTTGAAATCGGTATTTTTTAGTGCTATATTTGATTAAATAAAATCAAAAATCGCGAAGATAATATCGATGATGGATGTAGACAAAATGTAGAACTCTTCTCTTTTTATGAGATCAGGTTGAGGAAGATATTCTCAAGTGTTGAAATGATAAAATCTCTGATAAAGAAGAAGAAAAGAATTTGAAAATTCCTAAAAGGTTTGAAAGCTGAAGCATAAAAAAGGAGTGAAGAAAGAGATTTAGAACTTTTTGAAGAAATTGCAAATGATGTCTTAAAGAGCACAGGAGATTCAAGGAGTAAGGGGATGGAGTATCAGGTAGGGTTATGAAAGATTTTCCTTTTCAATAATC